TTTAAACGCGACGCATGCTTCCGCGCGTCGGTAGTGTAGACGCCGGGGAGCGACGTGACTGCGCAGTGAGGCGGGATAAGGGAGGTCAGGTACTGCTTCAGTGGGAGGTAACAGTGTTCCGTGCACCTCGATGTTTAATCATGCTGGCCACATGACCATGGAGAAGTCTTCAGACAGTGCTGGCTCTTCGGCTTGGAAATGGAGATGAGCACTGCCCCCTAGAGTTGGATTCAACTAGCTTTCGAGCAAGGGAAACCTTTATTTTACCTATATTTTCAATAGCTGACCCAGTGACACATACCAGCTTCCATATTTTGTATTTGACATTTCAAAAACTGACATCTTAAATATGTGGTCAACCATAGCAGTGTTTTTCCTCTTATTTTTACTACAGCCATAGGAAAAACTTTGTAACAAAATTTATAGAAAACATGTTAACTGTACCCACTGGACTTTCTTAATTACTGCTATACTATGGTTTCTTCCAGTGTTTTAGCCAAACCACATTAACCTCTGTCTACTTTTTTTAAGGGAACGGCCTCTTTCCAGGAGTGATAGATATGTTTGGTGATGAAGGTGGGTTAGTTGAATTCCGATCAAGCCTCCTGGCTGCCCATGGCTTTGCTGCTCTTTCCCTTACCGTATTTCAATTTTGAGGATCTCCCCCAGGTCATGGAGGATTTCCACCTTGAGTACTTTCAAGAGGCAGCTAGGTTTTTGCTATGCCATCCAAAGGTGAGTATGGTGACATGCTTTTCATATATGTCCTCATTCTGTATTGATGGTGTTTCTGGATCTTAAAGTCACCAGTGGAGAAAATCATAAAGCTGAATCTGGAAAATTCACTGTATCATTCTAGAAGAAATTTGGTTCTATAAGCCACTATTGTGATGTACTTTAGAGCAGGGAGAAAAAGTGGTGCATGCAGGAATGGATGGATAGTGCCATTAACAGGGCACAGAGGTTAAGGCCTCCCCTTGATGTTGCTTGCTGGTACTGGTATTCTGAGGTTTACCTCATCTGGACATGGAGGTTCCCTTTAGTCATTATTGCTAGTAGCTGTTGATGGACCTATCCTCTATGCATCCATCTGTCTAATCCCCTTTTAAAGTGATTTGTGGTAGTGGCTATGTCCTCTGGCAGTAAATTCTGCAATTTACTTGCTTGTTGAGTCTGTCCTGAATCTATAGGCCATCAACTTCATTGAGTGCTCCTGAGTTACAGTATTAGTTGAACTAATATGTCTGAATGAGGCAGTACTGGAGATGCCTCATGTCATATTCTCAGTTATTTGTGTTCTATTCCTTTCCACTACATAAATTTCCTGTTGTGTTGTGGTTTTTTTTGTTCCTGAAGGTTAAAGGGCCAGGAGTTGGTGTTGTTGGAACAGGGAAAGGAGCAGAATTGGCATGTTCCATGATGACCTTCCTGCCAGAAGTAGTGGCTGCTGTCTGCATTTCTGGCTGCAGTTCCATCACAACTAGTACCCTCCATTATGGCAAGCTGACTCTACCCGGACTCTGCTTTAACATGAGTAAAATCAGAATTTCTGAAGATGGTGTGTTTGATATTTATGAGGCCTTGGATGATCCAAAGGACCCAGCTAATTCACATTGCCGCATCCCTATAGAAAAAGCAGAAGGACACTTCCTTTTTGTGGTAGGGGAGGATGACCGCAACTGGAAGAGCTCTTTGTATGCTGAGATAGCCACTGAGTGCCTATGCCAACATGGGAAGAACAACTTTACCCTCTTGAGTTACCCAGGAGCTGGTCATCAAATTAACCCAGCCTTCTCTCCAGTTTGTCCTATAGCTTTAGACCGTGTTCTAGGAGTACCTGTTCTCGGTGGTGGAAACCGCAGAGCTCATGCGTATGCGCAAGAACACTCTTGGGGGAAGATTCTGGAGTTTCTGCACTTCCACTTGAGATGAGATTTTCCAAATACCTTAATATTGAGAGGAGAGAAAGATGCCAAAGAGCAAAATGAATCTCAGGGACTCACTTGGAAGGAAGGCAGGAAGAGCTGAAATATGTCATGTGTACGTTGTTTGACTGACAGTTTGAGTGGATGAGAAGATCAGATCAGACTGTTTACAAGATGAGACTTGTTTACAGAGAAGCAATCTAAAATACTTAGATGAAGAACTGTAGTGATGAACAATGTTCCCTCTAAGCTGTGGAGTCTTGTGAGCAAAAATTCTACTTTGTGAGCTCCTGGCATTAAAGTTGTGAGCCAGCGATTTGGCTGCTGCATTACATTAGCTTGCTCTGGAGGCATCTTTCCTGCATTACATTAGCTTGCTCTGGAGGCATCTTTCCTGAGCTAAGACAAAAACGTGTGAGCCGGAGGCTAAAAAAATGTGAGCTAACTCACACTAACTCAGCTTAGAGGGAACACTGGTGATGGATAAGCACAAGTACTGTGTGAATGTATGTTTCCAAGAACAGATTTGCTTGAAGATATGGAATAGTGGGACTTGTTTATGTTAATATTTATGGAGCGGTACATTTTGGTCAGCATGTAAAAAATTAAAGGTGCATCACTGCTGCAAACCATCACCACAGAATGGTTAAACCACTGCTTGTCTCTTCAACACCTAGCTATATGCCTCTGTCTTCTTCAGATCACAAATCTGGAATATGATTCTCTTTGCCAGTGTAAAATCATGATCGCCATCAGCAAACACAGCTTGTTTTACCACTCGAAGAAAGAACAGAAAGGTTTATAAACCATAGAGATTAATGTCACACCCAACCTGTACCCTGCTTTAAATCGAAAGCTGTAATTTCCTGTGGACATAGAGTGGGCCTGTTCTGTTCTTGACATTTCTTTAGTGAAATACATACAGTGGAAACTTCCACAGCAACCAATTTAAGTACAAAAGTTCCAGTATGTTCTGCAGTGGGATTTTACATCTTTGTTCTAAAAATGCTTTTAACTCCACTTAGTTCAGTGAAATGGGATTGCAGTCAATAGCGTATACACAAAAAAGGGATTCCTCTAGATGAGTTACATTTGACTTGGAAGTAATTTTCCTGGTGGGCAAATTATACTGGATATTGTACTTAAATAATGAATTATTGTTGCTCTTGGAAATGTTATGCCCTTATTACTTCCTATTGTACTTTGTTGCTTTTCGTTGCCAATTTTAAGATAGTAATTTTTTCTGAGCATAAGTAGGATTTTGAGTTTTCTCCTGTCCTTTTGTTACCCCAAGTTACTTGTCCAGCCACCTAACCAGATTCCATCAATGCATTCTGTTTTGGTTTCTGTCTCTGCTTTTTAGTGGGGGAGGAAAAGGGAAGAAACCTAAGAGGGAAGTCTGAGCTGGACTTAGTAGTTGAGCATATGGCTAGAAAAGAGGATAAAGAAACATCAAGGATTTTTGGTGTATGTCTATTGAAATGACTGAAAGGGTACACAGTAGTAATTTGTATGGAATAATGTAGGCTAAACTTGTACATGCCTGTAGATGAAATTAAAACCATGAATAATGTAGTCCTCTTTGACTTTGACATGTATCTGCCCATTATGCACTGAATAATTTATGCTAAAAGAAGCTGTTTGCTGGGGAAAAAATGTCTGGTGTGGTTAAGAGCTATAATGTCTGTCATTATTGTTTGTCATTATCAGATTTTGACTTTTAAATAATAAAACAGCAGAATGTGAAAATGCAGTTCCAAGGATAACTCTTTGGAGACAAGCCAAGCAGTCAGAGATAACAGTGTTTGTGTTCTTACATATTTTAGCACAGATATTTCCCTTTTCTTCCTTCCGCATAATATTATCTTAATTAACCTGTGACTCTAAACCCTTCTTACATGAATTGTATTTTGCACACATGACTCTTTTCAGACCCAGCTTAAGAGAAAATATTTTTAAAATAGGGCTCCTTTTTACTCCTGGCAGGTTGCTGATTGGTGCTTTCTAGATACTGTTAACTTTACCATCTAAAACTGAAATTCTGGGTACTGGAAAGACATTTCATCCATGTACATAATGCTTAAAATATCTGTGTACAATATTTATATGCTGCTTTTCCAGTACTCAAAGTGGCACACAAGCAATAAAAACAAATTTGAAATCACAATAAATGCAATTTAACAAATCAGAACAAGCTTAGCAAATGATTAAACAGCTACCATTAGATAAACTCTTAAGGCTTGCAAATCAGCAGCTGCACGTTTAACCACATTAGCAATATAGGATACAACACAAATATTTTGTTCAACATACAAGGTTTTGTTTAGGGTGTTATACTAAGCAGTTAGTACTTGGTACCACTGAGCCCATTAATACCAGCTGGGGAAAGAAGAAGAGGAGAAGGAGGATATTGGATTTATACCCCCGTCCTTCACTCAGAGTGGTTTACAATATCCTTTCCCTTCCCCTCCCCACAACAGACACCCTGTGTGGTAGATGGGGCTGAGAGAGCTCTGACAGAAACTGCTCTTTTCAAGGACAGCTCTGACACAACTGTGACTGACCCAAGGTCACCCAGCAGCTGTGAGTGGAGGAGGGGGGAATCAAACCCGGTTCTCCCAGATTAGAGTCTGCGCACTTAACCGCTACACCAAGCTGGCTCTCCAAAAGTGCACAGGATCCAAGAACCTCTGTCCAGCCTTGTTATGCCTCCTTATCACAAGATGCCTGGTCAGCCTCCCCCCTTCTTTCCCATATTTATTGTGAAATAAGAGCAGGTTTTAAGGGCCTTGTGCCCCCATCTCGCCTTAAAATATTTTGAAAAAAAAAAAAAAAAGAATAGGTTTATTCATTTTCTAAAGCCACTTCATGTTTTGACTGCAGCATGGTTTCTTCTCATATAGTCCATAATGTTGCATAATTACAATAATTTATGTGATAGTGTTGATTTGTCACTTGAGTGATGTTGTGCACACAACCAGAAGGGGGTGTAGTACCTCTGGAAAAACAAATACCTTTCTCTACAATGAGGTTGGATAAAAATAAATGATTATAGTTTGAAATTTTGTATGCTACACTGTAGCTGGGAGGCTGAGAGATTTCACCTTGCCTAAGACTAGTTACTGAGTTAACAGCGAAGGAGAGATTTGAACCTCAGACTTTATATATATACCAATTATATAATTGGTTTTCCACAAAATAAAAAAGTGGGAGAAATACATATTGATATATCAGCTCAAACTTCTCAGCCATAATTCTATTAGTTAACAAATGTTTTGTCACTTCATCAGAAAACAACATTGTTGTCCTTAGACCACTATATGTCAAATATTATATATTTTCTTTATAACATGCATTTAAACTATCATTCTACTTTACATATTAAATACTTTTAAATCATACTATCTTTTCGTGTAGATATTTTTCTGATCTACTACTTCGATCCTGCTTATTCTTGAAGTTTATCTCAACAGTCTGCTGTGATTTCTAAATACAACCGGAAAGAAAAGGAAGGAAAAGAAAATTTACTATGTTCACAAACTTATAAACTTTGTAACATTTTCAATCTTATTCCTTTGTCTTATGAATATATATAGGTATAAAGAGCGCTGGGTATCCTAGCTAACATTTAGAGGAAGAAAGGGAGAGAAGAGAGGGAAAAAATGAAAGAAAGAAAAGAAAAGAAGAAGATATATAATTTCCTAAGCCTTTCTTCAATTTCTCTTCCCACACCATATAGATTATCTCATCTTGCAATTACAGTTACTATTACTTTTTTACTTAAGTAGTACCACAGCTCATCTTAATCAGTTAGTCAGTTACTCATAATCCCAATAATGCCTATCAAACTCAAACTGTAGCCCTTAATTCTTCTCTTAATAGAATCATATATTTGTGTCTCCTCTCTTTGTATATAGCAAAGATTCCTTTTAACCTCAGACATCCTGACTCATACCTTTGCCACCTAGCTACTACAGTACCCCATGTCTGCCCAACAACCAAAGGAGAACCACTTCATACATTAGATAGACGGTATAAAGTGGTCCTAGAACCAGACATTGCAATGTGGTTTGCTGGGTTTTACAGAGTGAAGATTCCACTCACCAAAAATGGCCCCAAGGAGAATACATGATTCAGTTGAGAACCCACTGCCAGCACTTGAACAAGTCACTCTTGTTCTGGGTGGATTTGCACATGTCCAAGGCTACTTTGTGCACACTAAATTGTACATAAAAACTACTGAAAACAGTAGGATTTACATCACCAGCTACCTTTTCCTGGACTCATTTCAAAGTGCCTTTACAGTTAAGTCCTTCACAATATGGGACCCTCATATCTTACAAAGCAACTCTCTCCCTTCAGTAAGTCTCAGAATTTGCTCCTCAGGGTGAAGTGAAAATAATATGAAGTGGGGGGTTTTTGAGGAGGAAGAGAAAAGGCCTCTGACCAGCAGGGATACGTGAGGAATTCACAGAGGGTGAGCATGGTAAGCTGTGCACAAGAGACAAAGGTGTTTCTGTTCTTTCAAATTCCTCCCAAGGTGGGCAAGAAACTAACCTTCAGAAAACCTTCAGCTGCTCTGTTTTGCAGAAGGAAAACAATGTCTCTTTTGTTAAAGTTACCAGTCAATTTACAAAACTGAAACCTTGGAAAAACAGTGATGTTTTTATATATAAAGCTTGCATGCATAGATTTAAAAAAATAACAATTCACATTTACATCCACTTTCTAATTCAAATTGATATTAACAAATAACTTGTTGTAGAACTCAGTCTATATTTTAAGGAAACTGTGGTGTAGTGGTTAGAGTGTTGTACTAGGGTCTGTGAGACCCCTGTTCAAATGCCCACTCTGTTGTGGAAGCTGCTGGGTGATCTTGGGCAACTCACACACTCTTAGCCTAAATGACCTTACAAGGTTGCCATGAGGATAAAACTGAGGAGTGGAGAACGATGTAAGCCACTTTGAGTCTCCCCTGGGGAGAAAGGAGAGGTAGAGATGAAATTAATTTGTTGACATTGGTGTAATCCTAAATAGAGTTATACCCTTTACTTAGAAGGGTATGACTCTGCTTAGCATCACACTGTATGTAACTGATACCATTTTAATGACTGAAAAGCAAAGTAGTCTCATAAAGTCACAAAATATTTTAGGATGAACCATTAATGTATTGGTAGGTGGCAGCATAGTTTCAGGAAAAGAATTCTGTGGCTGGGTAGGATCTAATTCTTCACATGATTAATGGTCATGATAACACTTGTTACTGACTCATTACATAATTATTTTGAAATGGAAGCAAACACCACCATAATTGCATAGATGGCACTGAGGACAAAACACAGAACACCTTTTTATGCTCCAGCATTACAAGGAATCACATGTTGACGATCTTTTTAATACTGGACTTGAAGTTAGGGAATATATAGTCTTTTATTTGCATTTAAAGCCTGCTATGCTATAAAAAGAACATATATAAACAGGTTGGGTATTATTAAAACTGATATTTAAGATTTGTATCATACCCATTTCAATTTCAGGTGCTTTTTAAATGAAGAGAACAGCCTCGGTATGCTTCCTATGTAGAGAAGCATCAAGGACTCTGGAAAAAAGTTAGTTTAAATGTTCCAGGAAGCAGCATCAGGGGGAAGGCCGTGGCCTCTGTGCCCTGTTGTTGACTGCCCCGCCCCCCTGAATAACTGGTTGGCTGCCCTATGAGAAAGGATGCTGAACTAGATGGACCACTGGTCTGATCCAGCAGGGCTCTTATGTTTTTATTACAATTGCTTGAAGTTGAAAAGGGAGAGTATGGGGCAAAGCAATTACAGGTTCTTTGTAAAATCAAAATTCATTACATGTCAAATAGCTGGAAATCTAAGGCAGAGCCTGCCAACTTAGAAATGTAATAGAAAATATAATAATTTAAAATAGGTATATACAAATTTTAAATATCAGTTTTTAATAATACCCACCCCGTTTGTATATATTCTTTTCATAGTAGAGCACTCTAAAAGCAAACAAAACCGATGAAAATGTCCTCTTTTTGGGTAGGAAGGTTAGGAATATTCCTAGTTAGTAGCAACTATTACATCTTAAAATAGTAAAGGTAAAGGTAAAGGTTCCCTTGCTCGAAAGCCAGTCGAATCCGACTCTAGGGTTGCGGTGCTCATCTCCGTTTCAAAGCCGAAGAGCCAGCGCTGTCCGAAGACGTTTCCGTGGTCATGTGGCCGGCATGACTAAACACCAAGGCGCACGGAACGCTGTTACCTTCCCACCGAAGTGGTACCTATTTATCTACTTGCAATTTCTTGCTTTCGAACTGCTAGGTTGGCAGGAGCTGGAACTAGAGACAGGAGCTCACCCCGTCTTGCAGCACCCGGGTCTTGAACTACTGACCTTTCACAGCCTGCAGTTCAGCGTCTTAACCACTTGAGCCACCGCAGCTCCACTTAAAATGAGATATGTCATAGTGATCACTTGTTTGAAGTAGTCGAGAAATATGTCCTCTGTTTTGCTTTGATATGGTAACCCTAAACTGTACTGAAGTTCCAGGAAAACCTAAGCCACAGAGAACATACCTCCACTCTAGCAAAGGACACTGTGCTTAAATTGCAACCTTCAGCTCCCCTTTTTAAAGATCTTACGCTCCGCCAAACGAAAAACCCACGTGAAACCGGAAATCAGGGCCTGCAAATAGCTCTCGTTTTCCGCTTCATCTCTATGGTTGTAGTGGGATTTCCGGTTTAGGGACCCATCTATTTACAGGTGAGCCTCTATGATCCTCAGCCGACTGTTGACCTCTTTCTCTCTTGCCCGCTCTCCTTTTCCTCAGGTGAGCATGCGCAAGGGCTCAGCGTGCCATAGCAACCAAAGCAGTAGACAGTAGCAACCAGAATCATAATAATGGTGAGTCCACTCGAAGATTGTTGGGGAAAGGAAGCGACGAGAAGAGAGGCCTGGAGTTGGGCGAAGGGCGGCGGCGATGGTCTGGGTTGGTGAGGAGGTAGCGAAGGGGAAAGGAGGACTGTTTTCTCTAAGGGAGTTTCCTGGGGGGAGGGAACCCGCTTGGTGCGGCGTCGGGCAGAGGGTCCCGCTGGGGAAAGCAAAGAGCTGGCTGGAACTAGAGCATGATGCTTATTTACTTCGCTTCTGTGCCGTCGGTCTGTAACTGCGCTCAAGTTGAGTTGAGGAGGAAGCTGACCACGGAGAGAGGAGTTCCTGGAGCAGCAGAAAGAGAGAGGTGCTGTTCAGCATCGCGGCAAGCAAAAACACGGAAAGATATCTTTCGTTTCTGTTGTCTTCCCTCCAGCTTGCAGTGTGGGCTTCGGTGAATTCTTTGGTTCATTCCCAAAATGGCAATCGCTCCCTGATTTGACTATTTCCTAAGTAGTAGAGAAACACGTGAATTGCCGAGCCAGCTGGTAGTGTAGCTTGGTTGTTCTTGTATGCTCCTAGCTGTATGTGTAGCGTCGCTGTTAAGAGTGTGAGTGGCAGAGAGACCTCCATTCACATGTGACTTCGGTTGTGAGCACTGTAATCTGTGGCTTTAAAGTAAGCCACTCTCAGTTTCAGCATGGGGGGGAAATAAAACTGACCTACTTTAGAGGATGTTAGATTACTGAGGTAATGCTTAAACAACAAAGAGCCTTCTGACACCTTAAAGACTAGCAATTATATAGAGGCATTAGATGTCACAAACCAGAGCTTTGTTTTGCCTGATGTACTCACCTAGGGATATATGCAGACTGTGAGTGCAGCGAGAAGAAAGCAGCCTAGAAGACCAAGCAGGGTAAAAGATAGTGTGTTGCACTACTATGAAAAGCTTGAATTAATACAAAATCCAATTGGAGTGGGTGTGATGATGTATGTGAAACACTCTGAACACTAAATTGCTGTTTGTGTTAATTGTTAAATGGCTTCTGAAGCAACACAGAATGTTTTCCTTTGATGTTTAAATCCTTATGTAACCCTAACACTTTATTGTTTCACAGGAAGGGCATTCATTGGAAGAAAGACCCGAATAGTTCATGCAGACTATTCATTATCCAGGAATTGTCTGAGTATTAGGAATCACCTTCAGTAGAATGGTAAATCAATATTTTGAAGGTTTCTATAAATAGAATCTGTGTTAATGTGTGACTGAAGTTCTCATTCATGGAATGTTATTTAAGGTGCATCAAAAGGATAAAAATAACAAAACCAAGGACATAATGTGACTGTGGTATGTGATTATATGTTCTGTTCTGTGCGTTGAGGAGCTCTTCATTATATTATAAAGCAGCAATAATTATTTTTACCAGGGGCAGCACAACTAACAGCTTGAATATATCTAGGGTTATAACTGCTCCAACCCACAGAATGCATAATGGATTAAGCTGCATCCAAAGCAAGACAGTATTATAGAGCTCTTTCCTTGTTGTACTTCAAAACCCCTGTAAGAGTTCTTTTAGTCCTTTAATGCACCGATTTTTAGCACAAGTATGTAGCAGTGCTGTGAGCAACCTACATAGTGTTATCCAATTGGACAGTGAAGTTTAGTGCAGCATTGTTTTAATCAGTAGCAAGTTTTCACTTGCAAAGCGGTCTGAATTGATTGCAAATGCGCATTTATTTATTTACTTATTTATTTATTATATTTCTATCCTGCCCTCCCCGCAAACGAGCTCAGGGCGGCTCACAAACAGGGCAACATGTGCCAATATAAAACATTAATAACAGAATAAAACAACAGTTTTAACAATAATAAAGTGCTCAGTGATGTTACCCAGTCAGTCGTATCAAGATGGTGACCAATAGATATTACCCTATAGATGTTATGCTTCAGCAGTACCAATCCGTCGCAGTATTGTTGCTAGATCTTTAGAATAAGCCATCCCAATTGTCCCATTGTTACCACAGGACAATTGGTGGTGGTGGTAGTGGCGGCTCCTAAGTGATAATATTCTTTATTGCTTTGGATTGAAAAGAATAAACTTGCTGCGGTTTGGAGGAAGTTTCTTTTAGAAACTTTGGCATGATGATTATTATGTTCAAATGAGCTAGATCAGCCTTGTCGAATGTAATTATGTGAGCTTCATGGCTTTTAGTAATTTGTACCAGAAGCTTTCTCATATATATCACGTAAATAAATATGTTTATCAACTGCACCAAGCAGTATAATTTGGTTTGTAATTCAGTCATCAATTTGACTGTAAAATATGTCAGGGTTTAAAACCAACCGGGAATGAAATGTAAGGAACAGCACTGATCTTGTTATATATGATAATATTTTAGCTTTACAGAGGAAAATTTGAAACATCTGTTCTTATGTGTCTATAGCCTTTACGTCGTTGATTATAAGATCAGAGACTGATGGAGTTTAAATATTTACAGAGACCATGTGGTGGTGTTCTAAGGCAAAAATGCTTTGATTCATGACGCAACTTGTTTAATATAAAAACAAATCGCCTAATATTTCTGTGTGACTGGGATGTGGATGAAAGTTGTAGACCAATCTAGATCAGAGAGCCAGTTTGGTGTAGTGGCTAAGTGCACGGACTCTAATCTGGGAGAACCGGGTTTGATTCCCCACTCCTCCACTTGCACCTGCTGATGTGACCTTGGGTCAGTCACAAGCTCTGGAACAGCTGTTCCTGAAAGAGCAGTTTGTGTCAGAGTTCTCTCAGCCCCACCCACCTCACAGGGTGTCTGTTGTGGGGTGGGGAAGGAGTTTGTAAGCCGCTCTAGGGCAGGGTATAAATCCAATCTCCTCCTCCCCCTCTTCCTCTTTCTCTTCCTCCCCCCACTGATGCTTGGAGAGAAATAGCCAGACATTGCGGAGAGAACTTAATTCCTCTTAAAACCGAAGAATGGTTTCAGTCTTTACAAAGCTAAAAGAGTGTGTATGTTATACTTTGGTGTGCAAATTTTCTGAGTTTGTTGTCCTTTTTTCTATTTTTGACCTATCTGAGTATCAGTTTAATTAATGCGTACTAAAATTAAAATGCGTACTACAATTAAAATGTGATTCACTGAAGAAGGAAATGGCAACCCACTCCAGGATCTTTGCCAAGAAAACCCCATGGACAGTAACAAAAGGCTAAAATATATGATGCCAGAAGATGAGCCCCTCAGGTCGAAAGGTGTCCAATATGCTGTTGGGGAAGAGCAAATGGCAAGTACAAGTAAACCCAGAAAGAGTAAATGGGCCAAAGCTGAAAGGATGCTCAGTTGTGGATGTGTCTGATGGTGAAAGGAAAGTCCGATGCTGCAAAGAACAATACTGCATAGGAACCTGGAATGTAAGATCTGTGAATCAAACTTGACGTGGGTCAAAAATGAGATGGCAAGACTGAACATCAACATCTTGGGAATCAGTGAACTAAAGTGGACGGGAATGGGCAAATTTAACTCAGAATACCATTATATCTACTACTGTGGCCGAGAATCCCGTAGAAAAAATGGTGTGGTCTTTGTAGTCAACAAGAGAGTGTGAAAGGCAGTAATGGGATACAATCTCAAAAACGACAGAATGATCTTGGTCCGAACCCAAGGCAAACCATTCAACAACACAGTAATCCAAGTCTATGTCCCAACCAGTGACGCAGAAGAGGCTGAAGTGGCCGTTTCTATGAAGACCTAAAACACCTCCTATGACTAACACCAAAAAAAGATGTCCTCATCATCATAGGGGACTGGAATGCTAAAGTAGGAAGTCAAAAGGTAACGGGAATAACAGACAAGTTTGGCCTTGGAGAACAAAATGAAGCAGGGCAAAGGCTAACAGAGTTTTGTCAAGAGAACATGCCCTCTTCCAATAACCTAAGAGGCGACTCTACACATGGATACCACCAGATGGGCAACACCAAAATCAGATTGATTATATCATTTGCAGTCAAAGATGGAGAAGCTCTATACAGTCAGTAAAAACAAGACCTGGAGCTGACTGTGGCTCAGATCATGAGCTACTCATGCAAAATTCAGACTCATTGCAAAATCACATCCCTTATGAATATACAGTGGAGGTGAAGAACAGGTTTAAAGGACTAGATCTGATACACAGAGTGCCTGAAGAACTATGGACGGAGGTTCATGACATTGTACAGGAGGCAGCAATCACCACCATCCCAAAGAAACAGAAAGGCAAGAAAGCAAAGTGGCTGTCTGATGAGGCTTTCCAAATAGCAGAGGAAAGAAGGAAAGCAAAAGGCAAAGGTGAAAAGGAAAGATTTACCCAACTGAATGCAAATTTCCAGAGAACAGCAAGGAGAGATACGGAGGCTTTCCAAATGAACAATGCAAAGTAATAGAGGAATACAATAGAATGGGAAGGACTAGGGAGCTTTTCAAGAAAATTGGAGAAATCAAGGGAATGTTCCATGCAAAGCTGGCCATGATAAAGGACAAAAATGGCAGGGACCTAACAGAAGCAGAAGAGATTAGGAAAAGATGGCAAGAATACACAGAAGAACTATACAAGAAGGACCTCTATGTCCTTGACAACCAC